TATAATCCTGGAAGGGTGCTGAAATCTATGGAATTTTCGCTTTGTGATATTCCTCGTATTTTATCAATGTACACATTTGCATAAAATACCCTCGTTAATCTTCTCTCAATTTGTCAAAAATATTTGTCGCATCTTTTTTTTTCGCCTACTTTTTCCGATTGCGAAATATGAATTTGGATTCCCATTTACTGTTCTGTGTAGTTGGTATTATCAAGTTACCCCAGATAAATTTTATGCAGATCTGTTGCTAATACTGTATTTCTCTATAATATGCTTATTAAGAAGATCCACCAAATAAAGAGGTAGTTTGTAGAGCGCTTTTTCTTCAGTTCTATTTTCCACATTTTTCTCGTTTACGGCCGTAAAAAAGCCTGCCGTCTGAAAATGCCTCACATTTAGAGAAACCTTTTTCGCTCACTTCTTGAATGAGCTATTGGTCTCGATTTTACATCTCATTCAGGCGACAGAGGTATAAAATTGTGGTCAGGGGCTCGTACAGGAACAACATTTATGGTGAGAACTCATAGCAGAGGGAAGTGTAGGAGACTACAAATCGCACAAAAAAGTAACATAGGTTTTTGGTCGTAAACCACGACAGCGAGAGAACGCTAAGCTCATTTTCGATCTCTGGGTTAATATTACTAATCCCAAATTTATTTTCTATGCTCCTATGGATCAAAAGTTTCAAAAAGTCCTATAGAAAAGTATTAATTTTCTACTTTACTAGGCTGAAAGTGGGTGGCTAAGCTGGGAGACTGAAACACCTTGCGTACCACTCTCTGTCCCCAACTGCCGCAGTTTTAAATCAGCGCTTACATGCGCGTACATCTCATGTGTAAACGCTAGAAAAACATGTTAATTTTTGACAGTAAATGACTTCGGGAACTGATAAACTTTGGAAGCTGGAAGGAATATTCTCTATTTGAGCTAAAGTTTGTAAAGTCAGCTTGCATCACACGCACAATCACGTCAAAAAAGATCACATTTAGCTCAACTCGAGAACTAGCCGGAAAGCAACAGTTGTAATTTTGCTAAAGTATTACCAAGGTTTCAAAAATAGTGTCCCCCCTTCCCCTACCTCTCCCCAGAGAACCGCCCTGGATTTGCTTATGAATGTTGCCATCGAAACTATAATCTGCTTCCTTATAATCCACTTTCTTAGTTGCTCAAAACATTTATAAACTGTTAACCCAATATTTCAAGATTTTTGCCTCCTCCTTCCTAGATGCATGATTAATGGCAATAGAGTAAGCATCAAAAAAACCAAACGGTTACGTTTGTGGAGCGCGATGTTCTTGACCTCTAGAATCGGACCTGTCGCTTTCACTACTCATAACTATTACCCTCTTCCGCATATTTCAACTGCAGTGCGTTCACTTTAAATTTCTTAGTGATGTACATCATGAGGCTTAAAAAAAGCCGGTAAGAAAACAACAAACGATGGCAACAGTTGAATCTAACGTTATCATAGTCGTGAAAGCTTACAAATACCGATTCATTTCTTCTGGTACAAAACTTCGAAATGAACTGTGCACTTTCTGTTGGTAGCTGTTGGAAATAAACCCTGTGCAGCGGAATTCTGAAAATAGAACAGTCTGAGTTACACAAACAAACTTAGTGCCACTGCATTATTTGAATGGAAAGGAGTGAAAAGCCCTAAAAAAGAGTGCAAGGAACCTTATCATCAGACTGCACAGTACAGGGCAGCTTCAAATAGAGTTCCAGTTTTTAAAAGTTACATAACTGAACTGCCTCATTTCTGCAGTTTGTTGTTCTGTGATCGAGAATCTCAAGCAATTGCAAGACTTTCATGAGAGCAATTACTTAGGCTTTAGACAGGTCAAGATTTTGAAACTCCCACTAACATGGCTGGCGAACTTTACATCCACTGAGCAAAATAAATGGAAATGAGTTAGAACAAAAAACTTTCCACTGTACTTCCTTTTAACTGGCCTGAAAGGAAAGTCGCCTGACTTTTTCGGGTAAGTCAGTTTCTTCGATAGCGTGCGTAAGATCCGCGGAAGACGATACGACTTCGGCCGACAATGTTGCCATTCTTTTTTTGGACCTGTCACAACGAATGTTAAAAAAAACTCCATTTGCTTCCAGCAAGTCTGCTGGAAGACAAGTCCGCCAAGTTCTAAAACATATGTACCGTAGCGACCCTACCATACAACCATTTGGTCATCATTGCAGAAATCACTGTGAAATGTCTGAACTAATTGTGATGGCAATATTTTCATAAAATACACTCACGGAATACCTCAAAACATTGCATATCATTTAATCAAGGCCGAAAGGTAATATCTGCTAGTGTTGCAGCCTTAGCTGCTAATGTTACTTGGAGGAATCTTGCCACGTGTATTTTACGTGTAAAATACATAGTGGTGAATTATACAGTTTTAGATTTTTTTAAATGTATTACGAACCCCTTTTCATGCAAGTCGGTAAAAAAAAGCATCAGATAAGTTAATAATACTTAGCATATACCAGTGACATCTCGAAATCACCAGAGTTTTCCAAAGTATTTCTGTCGTAAAAATCACTGAGTTGATATTTCCAGCAGGGAACGGAACGCCAGAATCGCCAGCAGAAAGACCACCATCAAGTGTTCTATTACTAATCAAAGCTACTAAAAGAAAGTTGCCAACTAAATAGATGGATCATGACTACATGGAGTGTAGCAAATCAAAGTACCAAAGCAAAATGTCTGTCGGGTAAAATACGCTAATATTTATGTATCACTCTGGTTCTTTGACCCATGGAGCATTTATTTGTTAATCATATCGTGCATTTTTTCATTAATGCAACGCAAAAACGCATATTGTCAAGGGGTTGTTCGTGTGTGTGTGTGTGTGTGTGTATGTATGTATGTATGTATGTATGTATCTGTGTGCTTGTCTATGCCGATTTTCATCTTGAGGCCTACAAAAGCTACAAGGCTGGAACTTTGGGAACTTCATCTACATGTCCTTATGGGTCCTCACCCCTGAAATGGACCCTTTCCCCTGCTTGTTTTCCATGTATGGGCTTGTGAAAATTTTTGGCGAGTAAGCTGCTAACTCGGAAACTGAAAAAGATAGAAAGCTGAAATTTTGAGGAAATGTTCCCCGTCTATGTAGAACCTGATGAATTCAAACCCAGCCACCAAGTGTGCGTGGTTCCCACGTTCGGGTAAGTTGCTAATTCGCAAACCTGAAAAGATAGAAAGCTGGAATTTTATGGGGATGTCTACTCACAGTCGTGATGGCCAATCTCATTATGCACTTTTGCATATATGCAAATTCAAAAATGCATATTGTGACAACCCCGATGTATGTATGTGTTTCCTTGTATTCAACTCGGCAACCAAGCAATCTCCGGTGCCAAAATTTTGCTAGTGGATTCCTCAGGCAAATGCCACCCAGGACCGCGGAACCAACCTTCAGGCACGTCTGGGCTCCGCGTATAAGCGTGTGAAAATTTTGGTGGAAGAATCATTGACTCAGGAACCAGAAAAGCTAGAAAGCTGAATTTTGCGGTTATGTTCCACGCCCAATAGAACTCGGTGATTTCAAATTCAGCCCCAAGTGTGCATGGTTCTCACGTATAGCCCTATAGAAGTTCTCAGCGGGATAATCGCTGATTTGGGAACCAGGAAAGCTGGGAAGCTGAAATGTTAAGGGAATGTTCCCAGTCCGTGTACAACTTGAAGATATCAAATTCAGCTCCTCAGCGTGGCTATCACGTACGGCTCCGTGAAATTTTTTGGCGAAGAAAATGCTAACTTGAGGACCAGAAAAGACATAAAGGTGAAATTTTGAGGGATGCCCCCTGACCAAGTACCTTAGTTGCATAATTAATTTCCAAAGTCGAAGGACCACTAAGTCACAAATCCTAGCTACCGGGTTTCCGAGCTATCTTGCTACAGCACGAAATTCTGCAAAAACGCTTGATCGCACAGGCCCACTCGGTGCGCGTCACCAGTGGTTTCTTTCAGCTAGAAGCATCTGCTGGAGAAAACAATACTATCAGCAACAAAGACATGGTGGGAATTGTACAAAATAGCGCATCTTCGCACCGAGATTCGGCGCGTTGGCTAATTATTTTTCGTTTGTTTTTGATAATTGCTACTGCGCTTGTAAGTGGAAAGTGCCATCTCCTGTATCTAAAGCGAACGACGGACGGAAATACTCTGGTGAAGTAGCTGCGTTTTGAGGAACCACTGGAGCGAATAAGGAGACTGGAAAACTAGTACAAGGAAAAGCTAGTCTTTTCGTGTCCAGCACTAAGCTGATCCGACGGCAGCCGTGTTCTCTGTATGCTTGTCTCTCCATAAACTGGATATTAAGCAGTGAGGAGGAGCTCTGCGAAGTGCACACGAAGAGAAGAGGAGAGCTCAAGTTCGAGCTTTTAAATCTCTCAATCGCTTACCATCGAACGAAGCAGCTGCAGCAGCATGGCTGATCCGGAATTAGCTAGCAAGTTGGAAAAAAGGCTTGCTAAGTTAAGCGTGCATGAGCCTCCCGATCCAGAATCTCCATCACATGCCTCTTCTATTCCAGTACCTCCGCCACCGCCGCCACAGAAAGAGCAGACGCCACCGATGCGCGTTATTCCAGACGATGAAGTCACCGACATGGATAAGCTTATTGGACAGACGCTGCGTGCGCGGCAAGTAACCTCACAAAAAGCATCAGCTGGCCTATCAGCCTGGATGGATTACAGACCAGAAACGTGCAAAAAAGAATCTGCCGTTGCTCAGGATCGAACTTTCGAGAAACCAGCAGAAGGTACGTGGCATCTTAATTTTTGAGCCAAAAGTCTTTCGGTAATACGTATCTCTAAGTCAATTGCATGTTGAACGGCTGAGAGCGATGATTAGTAAGAACTGCTAAACTAAATTTTCTGAATAAGGATATTTAAATCAGCTGAACTTAACCGGAGAGACACTGATTTAGCAACAAAAGTGAAAACCGCTACTGGCAGGCAACAAGTGCGGTGAAAGGGAGAAAACAAGGCTGAATACTAAGTGATCTAGACATAAATTTGATCAAAGAATAAACGGGGAATTGCGAATAGATTCCAAATTAAGCTCAATTAAAACTGGCAAATTGATACTAGTAAAATAATTTTGAAAAAATAAAAAGCAGGAGAATTTTTGTCCCCGACAATTAAAAAAGTTTTGAGCATCTGGCGCCGAATAACTTGAGACTCGAGGAAAGCCATTTGCAAAAAA